TATTAGAAATGTATTAGAGGAATGTATATCCTTGGAATCAAGGTCTTTCCTATCTAAACTCAGAGGTCCTTTTTTTCTTACAATGTATTTGTCATTTGCTTAGCCTCTTTATTATTTTATTTTGAAGTGTTTACAGTGCATTTTTATCCCTGCAAATTCAAGTAAGCTGATGTTTCCTGTCCCAGCTTCCCAGTCTCAAATAACCATTCTGAGGCTTATATTAATTGTAAATGCTTGGTGAGTAACTTGAGCTTAATACTAACTAGCACTTACATTTTAAGTTAACCCATACTCCTTATTTGCACTCTGCCACGTGGCTGTACCTTCATTAACACGGCATGCCATGCTCATCTCCTGCTCCCTCTGCCTCTGCCCTTCCTCATCCCATCATTCTCAGTTTGGCTTTCCTACCTAACTATATTCTTTCTGTTCAGCTATTGGACAATCATCTTGTTTATTAAACCAAACATAGTGACATAATATTTACACAGTGTAAAGGAATATCTACGGCAAATGCATGTGCTTAATTTTGTGTATATTACAAAAGGGCAATCAATACTGTCATTGGAGTTTTATCTGACACCTGTTCTGTATATGAAGTAGGAATGTTAGCTTGGTTTGTTAACTGTAACATTGCAAATCAACAACAACAAACCAAAGGAAAATCCCATAATTAGTTTAGACATACAGGATGTGTAGTAGTTTTGCCCTCCAAACTCTTCCTGTGGGAGGAGTTTAAATACTTCAGTTGCTAGAGTCTCCCCCACATCTCCATCTTTAAAAAGGAAGTCTTCCTGATCTTGTTACTTTCTTTTTTTCCCTCTGATTGTTTGTCTTATTGGACATCTAAAGAGCTTAATGGTGTTTTACAACTAAATAGTTCATTTTTGATGTTGCAAAGTAGTATATGCTCTTAACCTCTGTGCTGTCTCTCCAAACCCAAGTGCTTAAAGTTCAGATTAATGTTGAAAAAGATGCCAATTACATGACAGCAATTTTTACTGTGATGTTTTATTATGAATGGAATATATAACTTGATTTTTCATTTGCAGTAGTATAAAAGCTGCAGGTATGGTGGCACATATCTGTAATTTCAACACTTGGGAGACTGAGGCAAGAGAATTGCTGTAAGTCTGAGGACCTCCATGGTTGTATAGAAAGACTTTGTTTCACAAAACCAACATATTATAGTAAGCTATTTTTGTGTGTACAAGAAGATGTGTTAATTTTAGTGTTTTATAAATGGAGAGCTATTAGTTTTATTTATTGTTTTGGTTGGATTTAGGTGAATGGAATTAAATTGAGTTGAATATCTCATTTTAAATTTAGTGACTCCAGAATCCGTATTTGTAACAGGTAGTGAAATACCAGTGCCCTTCTGAAATCAGAGAGCAAAAGAAACAAGAGTCTAAAGCTACATTTCTTTTTACTTAATTAAGGACAATAAAAGCCTCTGTCTGTACTGACAACATGGGATTATTCTGTATTTGTGTATCTAGAGCGCTGTGTCCCTGGGAGATGGCCTATAGAATAGGGTGTAGCTGAGGAGTTTGGAATATCATCGACATTGCTTTCATAAGTTTTTCTCTTGCTTAATTGACTACAGTATTAACACTAGAGTTGTGTGCTGTAGGTCGGATGTTTGAAAATAGTCCTTTAGTTTGGTAACTGTTAGCTAGACAGTGAGAATCTGGGGACTGGTGCTGTACTCCTTGCTTTATAAATTATTGCGGATTTATATAATTCCTAAAAGCAGTGTGAAAGTGATGTTTCTATGTCAGGTTAAATTTAATAAATTTTTTGGAATCTCTGAGAAGGATAAGATGGAACCCTTATTCAGACTGTAGCAAAGTGCACAGAAACAACTTTAGCAGGTCTGGAAGTGAAGTGATTGGGGAACTTGCTGACCACAGAGGCATTGCATTGTTTTCCCAGGTAAAGCCTTGTCTGTGTTTTCCCATCTGTACTTTGTCAGGACACTTAGTGGGGCCTTTTTCTTTCCTGACTCTTATCAGACTATTGATTTAGAAGGAAGGGAGGGAAGGAGGCTCTGTAGACAGAGTTTAGGGTTTGATTTTATTCTTAAACCTAAATAATTAGATCTTTACATTCTTGGGGATAAGCAAAGTATTTTTCCTAATTTTTCTCCATCAAATTGTTCAGAAGATCAAAATGATAAAAACATAAGTTCAGCATTTTGCTACTGATGCTATACTTGGTTTTACTTAACATTTGGAGAGTGATTGCCTTTGACATAAGTTCAAGAAAATTTTATTTTTGCTAATGTCAGTTTTTGTAATGGTAATTAGCAAATAAAAGGATGTTTATTATTCAAAACAAGACAACACAAAACCCAGTCTCCCAAATGTTAGAAGAAAAACTATTTACACATTTAACTAAAATATAAATATAACTCATAGCTCAAGATAGACACAAAATTCATCGATATTTTCTTCTTTCCCATAAGAACTCACATTTGATGCTGTTGGGCTGGGGCTAGACTACACATCACATTTCATTCCTGTTTCTTTGACTTAGGAAAAGCTCAGAAAGCTATTTTGGAAAGTTGGCTTTGTCTAGGCATGGCTTACTGAGCCCAGGATTGCTTTCTGTTTCTTCCTCAAATGTACAGGTTAAGGCATCAAAGCCTTTGAAAACTTGAATGTGTCCACATGGGGGCAAATTTTGGGTCTCTTCAGGGACTCAGGAATTTTCCTTTTCCTCACTGATAAGGTATAAAGATATGGAGGTTTGGGTGAATGCCCTTTATTTTTAGATGCAATACAAGCATTCTTAGGTTATTAGGAAGCATAGGTTGATTTTACTAATGTTTAGGAAGACTACTTGAGTTGAGGTTTAAGTAATAGGATCGATATGAAGCTTTATCATAGACCCCAAATTTTCCCTCCTTCCATCCTTCCCTCATGCTCATGTTTGTTTGTAAGACAACTACTTACTGATAGAGCCACCTCCCCTGCCCCATAAACCCAAAATTTAAATGATATTTTTGCATCTAAAATGATACTGGGCAGAAAGTTGATTGTAAAATTCTTCTGTTACAGCTCACAGGTATCATTGCAATGTAGCAAGTAAAATTGTTTTCATTCTTTAAAAACACAGGCTTCTGTTTCCTTGTCTGTGATAATATTTTAAAGGATTGGACCAGTTTTAACATGATACTTTGTATCAATTGTATGTATTCTAACTAAAAATTTTTAACAGACAGAAGTAGACAGTACAGGGTTTTTGTTTTTTGTTTCCTAAAACAGATGTTATTAGCTAGGTGATGGGGGTGTACACCTTTAATCCCAGCATTCAGGAGGCAGAGGCAGGTGAATCTCTGAGTTCAAGGCCAGCAGCTTTTGGTCTATAGGTGTTCCAGGATAGCCAGGGCAACACAGAGAAACAAAGAAACAAAAAACAAAACAAAAAACCCAACCAAACAAAAACAGATGTTACTTCTGTCCAATTCTGTTTATCTTGTTAGTGAAAACAACAAAACTGTAAAAATAGGTAAGTGGTTTCAAGATTAATCACTATAGAGGAATCTGTCTTAAACACCAAGCAGGACCCAAAATACCACCATCAAAATAGCTTTAGATACTTGTTCCCAGAGTAATTGAAGTTGCTGTTAGAGACTCCCTCACCCTTAAAAACTGAAACTGTTGAAGACCTGGAATGTCATCGGTAGACAGGAGAGAGAGTGATGAAATACAGTAGTTAGGGAGAAGCAGGAGCCAGACTCTTACCTCTGCTTCAAGACCTGCCTGGTCTCATCTGTTCAGGACCTCATCACCTTCCCTAAGTCCTCTCTTAAATACTCTCCACCTGTCAGTACTCCTACAGTTGGTTGGTACCAGGCTTCCAGCACAGGAACACTTGTACTAGCAAATTATTGCCCAACTGTAGCAGTCACAAATGCTCAGTAGATTGAAAGTATGAATAGCACAGTGTCTTCTCCAGCCATAGTGAGATGAAGGCAGAAATCAAGCAGAAGGGTGGCAAGAGTCAGTCTGTGTCACAGAGTGAGAGAGAGCAACACTGCTCTGCAGAGACCTCTGTCTGGCATAAAAATGAAATGGAGGCAGGGTGAGCTGTGGTAATGAGTCAGGTCCCAGTTAGTTGGTGAAGAGAGAATAGGTTGGAAAATCATTTCAAGAATAATAGCTGTGGATTCTGATAGACACATACAGGTTCTGAGAGAGGAAGAAGATACTTGTAAGTGGGGGGGGCGCACAGATTTTGCTGAACATATGACTGTAGTTTTGTTAGGCAAGATAGGGGCAGCTGCAATACCAACAGGTTTTAGACGGTGGAAAGGACAGAAAGGGCAGGAACTGGGGGTAGTTAGGTTTAGGGTTAGTCTAAGGACCCTCCACAGAACTTTATGTGGACAGCACAGAGACAGGCTGTGCTGTAAGTTTACTCAGAATTCTAATTGAGAAGAAAGCAAGAAAACTTACAAGTACACTGATTTTCCAATTTAGAAAAGAAACCTAGAATCAGATGTAATTGTAGTGTCAGATGTATGTGCTATAATCTTTAACTTTTTAAAGTGTTTTTTCTTTAATGTTATATATCAGAGTTTAAAATTTTTTACTAACTATATACAGGCAAGAATTACATTAACAATGTCTAGTCTATTTGCATTTGACACATTCAGAGAAAATATTCATTATCTATTCTACCTTGGTTCAAAGTGTTGTAGTTTCTTACCTTTATGTAAAAAGTTAATCTCATCTCTTTAGAAATATGACTATTATATTATATACAGTATGGCAAGCACAGTTTAATTCCTCTGAAAGTGTTTTAGAATTTTGGAAGTGTGGAATTTACTAGTTCAGTGTTCATTTCTTTTTATATGTTTATGTATAGAATTTTAATAAAGTGCTCCTAGTATTAATAGGCTTAGGTTCAGTTTAAATATGGTGTAATGTAACTGGTCTAGTTTTATCATTTGTCATTATTCATGTCAGTTTAGAGCTATTTTATTGGTTTCACTGTTTTTATATTTCCCAACTATTTTTCTGAAGTTAATCTTGTTCGTGGTGTTTTTTAGCGTCAGCTTTTCTTTCTTGACTCTTTACTGATGCTCAGGATAAAGATGGAGACCGAGCCGTTCACCATGCCGCCTTTGGAGATGAGGGCGCTGTTATCGAAGTCCTGCACCGAGGCAGTGCGGACCTGAATGCTCGCAATAAGCGAAGGCAGACGCCCCTGCATATCGCTGTCAATAAAGGGCACCTTCAGGTTGTGAAGAC